GGGTCCAAGTTATAGTGTGGCAAAATGCCTGTTTAGGAGCAGGGGATCGATTTGATATATTTTTTTCACATGGGGCAAAAATGAGCAAAATACACTTGTTTTTCTGCCTACAAGTGAGAAACCCAACTCTACCAGTGAGTCCTATGGCATAATTCAACAATTAGGGTATAAGTGTTTCTCCTCTGCCTTAGAGTTAGTGAGATATTTGCTATTTTAAGTGAACAAATAGTGAGAGAGAAGATGAGTGAACATTTGCTTTTTTATATATCTATAGGCTGGCTCTGCAGGAAAAGGAACAGCTCTGGATATGAGTTCAGATGTTGATCTGGTTATCTTCCTCAGCTGCTTCTCCAGCTTCCAGGATCAAGCAGAGCAGCGTGAACGTGTGATCAAGGACATTGAAAAGAATTTGAAGAGGTGTATCCAGACGATTGCTTTCAGAGTTGACATCTTGTCACCGAGGCAGAAGGGAACTCCTCCACGTTCACTCTCAGTCATCATCCAGGCAAAAAAGAAGACAGAGTCGGTAGAGGTGGACATCCTCCCAGCATATGATGCTTTAGGTGAGAAGCTAGTCACAAGCTTTCTTATTAATTCTGCTATTAGCAAACATAGGAACCATCAGCATGACTATATAGAGAACCATCATGGGTCTTTATATTCTGCATGTATCAGGAGGCACTTCAGCGGAAACTTCTGCTTATCACCTTGGGGTGTAATCCATCTGGTCCTGGTGATATGAACTCGTCTAGGCTGGACAGGTGCTCACTTACCATTTTCTTGCCTATCTTAACTTGTGTTTCTATACTGTTTTTTATGGCACTATTTTTGATAGGTTGGTCTGTTTTTTCCCTTTGTGTAAAGACAGATGGAGATGGACATGATAGTTGTTGATGGCCTTAAAAATGCACAATAGGATAAATAATATCACACAAAAATCTTGTGATAGTTTCCTTTGGTTCCTCTCCCATCCTAGGTCCGATAACGTCTACATATGTGCCACCTAAGGAGGTCTATATCGACCTGATTGAAGCCAATGGAGACCCAGGAGAGTTCAATACTTCCTTCACAGAGCTGCAGAGGAATTTTGTGAAACATCGTCCACCAAAGCTGAAGGATCTGCTACGGCTGGTCAAGCACTGGTACAAAGAAATCAAGAAGGTGAGCTGTTATGAGAGAGAGGGGGAGAGGCTGGAATAGTAACAGGAGGAAACAACCAACCAATGTTCTTTTGCATGTTAAATTACTTAATAGTTTTAAGTGATTTTTATAATATGCTTTGATTGTAGGTTTTATTTTTCATCTCCCAGAGTCACTTTGTGTAAAGTGGGTGGCCCTATAAATTTGATAGATTTGTTACATATCTCACAAACAACTGGGAAGAAAAGACTGAAAACATTCAAAGAGTTTTCACCTTAATGAACTCACCAACAAATGAGGGTTGGGGGCTCCTATGGCAGTTGCCAAGATTCTGTACTTCTAGTGTTTGCACTGAAACTCCCTCTTCTATACTGAAGTCCCCATGACCTTTGCTTCCTTGGTCATGCCCTGCTAAACTGGTCTTGACATTGTCCAACTTGTATACAACCAGTCATTTCCTTGGCATCCTATCCCTTTGCCCAACTTTTCTGGCCTGCCACCAATTAAGTCTTAACCTCCATAATAATAGTAAGAATCAGATCTTATTGTGGTCCTCAGTTTTTCTTCCCCAAAATAGAAGTCAAGAATCAGTATTAGTTTTCCTTACTCCACCTTGGGTCTGGATGTCCTGGGAAAATATCCATAGAGACAGATATAAAGGCAATGTTACATCTGACTTTTAATTCTATTTGCTAGAGCCAGTATGGGCCAGCTTGCTATGGTATTCAAAATATTGGGATAGCACCAGATAGATTCAAATTTGATTCTGTTTTTATGAAGATATCTTGAAAAGCATCCAGCAGGAAAAGCTGGTGCAGAAAAAAATAATCTATCTACTGAAATTGGCTGATGGAAAAGCAGCAGCTACAACAAGAATAGACAATTTGTGGAGTGTGTTATGTCCTAAACCTTTGTGCAGGGAACAGATTTCCCCAAATTTATTGAAATTTAGCATCAAATAACCAGCAGCAACCAGAGATCAGGACAAGATAACTGAATGTATCAAGTCTCCAATGGGCTTTATACAGTGATTTATTTTTAAAAATCCCTACGTATTCAGAAACAAAATGGCCTCATGGNAAAGAAGCAGAGCAATTCAACATGGCAGAAGGATTTTGCACAGTGATGAAACTGATCATTCACTACCAAGACCTCTGCTTCTATTGGACTAAATATTACAGTCTTAAGGCTCCCAGAATTGGGCTCCATGTGAAAGGAAAATTGAGGGAGTCACGGTAAGGATATTATTTCTTTCTTTCTTTTTTTTAATTTTTTAAATTCATTTTCCAGCTTTACATTTAAATATTTGAAAAGTAACGTGGCGGCTGGATTGATTCATAATTCAATAACATACAAATTTCTTTAGTACAGATCACAAACTATTATATTAAATATTTCCTCTCTTTTCCCCTTAGTATTTACTGTCTCACATTTAAATTAGTACAATTCTTATTATATCAATTTAATAAAATAACTTTCTTATATTTATCAATACTTTTTAGTTTATACATATCTTAGTCATTTTAACATTCAATCTTTTTAGACAATCAATGTCCTGATAAGTTTTTCCCAATTTTTAGTTTCCCATTAATATTTAAATTCAACGTTTAATATTGATAGTTTCCAAGTTTTAAATAACCCCAATTTCCTTTATCACAATTCATCCCAAGATCTTACATCAGCTGGTTAATAATACAATATAATATTCTTATTTTCTAGTAATTTCCAAATATCTTAATTTAATAACCAAAATGTCTCTTATTTCAACATTTAATGCTTCCTCTTTTTTCTCTCAATCTCTACTATCTCATATTTAAGCTAGTAATTTTTGTTATTACCACTAAATAAAAACATAGTTGTTACATTCATCAATACATTTTTAGTTTATATATATTTTAATTGCCCTTATATTCAATATTCAATATTCAAATTTAACTATTAATGTTTATATTTCCAAGTCTTGAATGACCAGAATATCCTTTAACTCAACTCATAACAATTTCTAATATTCAAGTACACATCTTATCTATTTGAGAATATTCTATTTTAATTCTCACTAGTAAGTCAAAATCCCAATTTTCTTCAGTCTTATTCTAGCTTTCTTTCTTTGCCAAATTGTCTTCCATGTCCATGCTTTTGAGTCATCAAATAGATCTCTCTGTGTTGTTATATATGTTGTTTGACGTAGAAAAAAACCATCTGATCGCCATTTTTTGAGAGGACTAACAAATTGTCTCTCTATTTTTTCATCTTGATTTAGTTGTCTTAAAATGTTTATCTTCTCTTCAGTCTGTTGTTCTTCTTGATCATCAGGTTTCTTCTGATTTATGTAAAAAATCTTTTCCCTTTTTCATATTGTCAGTCCCTTTTCTGGGTTTTCCATTGATTGTATTTGTTGATCAGTTGAATCCACTGTCATAGTATTTAATTGGTCCACTTTTTCCGTTATATTCTGTATAGTTAATTTTTCAGTTGTAATCTAAATTTGAGTTTGTCTATCTGGGCTGACATCCCATTCCTTTCTTATTTCATCAGTAGCTGTAAGAATAGTTTGGTAAATTGCTTTCAGCATAAAAAGAATCTGTTCCTGATCTTCCTCCATATTCTCTTAGTAATGTATTATGTTAATAGCTTTGCAATCAGAGAATATAAAAAAAATTCAGTAAGTATGGAACACAGCTTGGTTTCACAGCTCATATCTCAAGGTTATAAGTCTTATCTATTTGTCTAGGCTGTCAGCCAAGTCTCTTTTAAACAATAACAGGTTGTAATATCAGGTTTAGCCACAGGATGTCGCCCCTATATTTAATTTTTTCCTTTAGGTCCAAAGTTTTTATAATCTTTTCAGTTTACTTCTTTTTTATAAGTAAAAACCCAGATCTTCAGTAAAAATAGAAAGTCTTTTAGTCCACAAACTTTAAGAAGTAAAATTCCAATTAGGATCAAGTTATTCTTGCAGTGTTTTTAAACTCCCCTGGATAGTCAGTCGCTGCTGTTTTTAGAGGGAGGGGTAAAATCTCCCTTCCCTCTCCACAGAGGGGAAAGTACTTAAGCAGCTTATGCAGGTAAAAAAGATAGTTAGGATTTAAGAGAAGTAGATCTCACCCTGTGTCTTCTGCGCTGCTTTAAAGTTGCTTGATGGTAAGTGTGACTTCGGCTGTCTGTAGCCTAGTGACGAGCCATATTTCTATGGCTGGTCTTTTGTCCGCCAGTTTGGAGGGCTGCCCCGGATCAAACGGAAGAGCTACCACTCTTCTGCGCTCATGGGGATCCCCTCCTTGCTGGTGGCCCCTACAGGGCGACTTTCGACGCTTTCCAGGGTCCTCCAGCGATGCGAAACTGGATGCGGAAGACGGAGCTCGCCTTCCAGACATCCATGGCAGCCGCCTCGGCAAACCGGAAGCCAGGATATTACTTCTTTCTTGTTGTCTTTTCTTACATAAGCTTTCATTCAGTTGTGTAAAGTGATAATCAGACTGTATTTCTCCTGAATTGTCTTATTTAGCCTACATGTTCTGGCATTCTTCCATTGTACTTGAATATTTTGGGGCAAGAAAAATATACTTATTACTCTTTCACATTTGGAGAAAACTGCTTTTCTGATAGCTCCAAATACAAGAGGATGAAAGAGGTAGAAGAGTTGTACTGGAGTAACATATTTTTTTTATTTCTTATGATAACTAGCTGTGCATTTCTCCTGTGAGTTTAATGAAACACTTTATAATTTTTTTAAAAAAATATATGCATATTTATTGCAGTCCAGTGATTATCGATCCAGCAGATCCAACAGCAAATGTGGCCAAAGCCAGTGGAGAAGCTTGGGATCTACTGGCCAAGAATGCTTCTTATTGCCTGAAGCAGTCTTGTTGCATGAAGAATGGGGAACCTATCAAATCCTGGGATGTGCAGGTAGTGTTCATTTATCATTTTCTTTGTAATAGACAACTCAGAAAAATCATTATTTTTATGTCTTGGAATACTTCAGGTACTGTATAATGTTTACAGATGAATTATGCAAAGATTCTGAAACCTTACAAGATTCAATATCTTAAAATGAAATGGGTTTTCTGACTGGCTTTCCCTAGTTGAACCAATGAAAATAATTTTAAAATGGATAACTATATCATATTAGAGTTCTGTGCTTAAATGTGGTTTGTTCAGTTAAACACAACTCAAGTGCACTAAGCCATAATGGGTGAGAGTCTCGGATGAATTAGCCTAAACAGTAGCTTTCTATCAGTCAGGTTCAAGAGAAGTTCTTCAGGGTTATTCCTGCTTGCTTCCAGGTGGGGAATGAGATGTGAAGCAAAGCCATGCATTTGAGAGGCAACTGCAACTTTACCACTAAAGTTTAACCAATGTTCTATTCAGTGTTTGAGGGGGAAATGGCAAATAAGTAAAGGAATAATCATTACTTTAGATTTTTCCTTTAGAAAAATCAGGTAAATAATCCATTCTGGAGTTATTTTTCCCTTTGTAAGAAAAGAAACACAAAACACAGTTGTCAATGCTGCTAACATTGGATGTTTTTGCTTTGACAACATTTTCTTCTTATGTTTTACTCTTAGAGTTAGAGTTAGATGATGCTGGGGGAGGAATGTACATGAGAGTTTAGCTAGACATAATAATACTGAACCTAGTGTGTGAACCAAGGTTATTGAAATAAGAGATGATAAGAATTGGTGGGCTGGAGAACTGGAGGGAAAGCCTGCATTTCAAACTAATTGGAGAATGTGATTTATGACTGCTAATTGGAGGAGGGAATTGTGCTTTGATACTATGTGCTCAGGGGAGGGGAATCCAGTTTTTGGCTTCGATTGTGTTAGTGCTGATGCTGTGCTTCTCAAATAAAGATTCTTTAAGGTAAACAATGCCTCGAAGTTCTTTGAAGAGTTTCAACTGTCGGAGCCATGACAGCAGTATCTCTGAGAACAGGCTGCTGAGAATTCATTCTAGAAAACTATTCTTTTTATTACATTAAGTTTTGTTTGTACGTTGACACCATGCTTCTAAATCTTACCACTTTTAACATATATGTTACAAATGTCAATTTAAAGTTAAAAGAGTTTGGGGGGGAAGGAAGGGGAGAGCAGAGGAGGGAAAATTTTTAAAGGTATCAAAGGAATGCAGTTTTATTAGACAATATTTGTTGCCTCACTCTCAAAGGAGTGAGGCAAAATTTGGTTACATCATTGGTAGTGGTCATATGATCTCCTAAAAAATAGGAAATGTATTATTGGTGGTCTCTCCCTCAGAATTCCTTTTTTTAAAATAAATATTTTATTGATTTTCTGTTTTTACAATCAAGTGCCTAATTAAACAACGTGGTGACTGGGTCTATTAGTAATTTCATGGTACATGTAAACTTCTTCAAACATAATCCAATATTACACTCTCCAATACATCCTCTCTTCATCTGGTAATAGACATTTTTCCACACTAAGCAAGTACAATTCTTATTGTAAATAAATTTACAATTGACTATCAACATTTGTTATATTTTTCTAAAGGTATCAATAATATCAGTTTAAAATATCTTTTAACCAAAGCGTATCTTAATTGCATTTACATTCATTATCCATTTATTCAATCTATATCCTATTTTCGCTTTTTTCAGTTCTGATTCCTTTCTAGTAATAAACATTTTTCCAAACTAAGCAAATACAATTCTTATTATTGTAGGTAAATATAGAATTGCCTATTGATATTTATTATATTTTCTAAAAATGTCAATAATATCAGTTTAAAATGTATTTTCTAACCAAAACATATCTTAATTGCATTTGCATCCAAAATCCATTTATTCAGTCAAAATCCTATTTTCACTTTTTAATTCCCATCCATGTTCAAAATATCCCAATCATTTATAATTTCAAAACAAGTTATATTTGGGTAACCAAAAGTTTCCCCTATTCAAAATTCTTAACATATTCTTCTTTCCCTTTTTTATAACAGGATATGATATTCTGATTACAAATCCTATCTATCTAATTATAATAATACTTCCATTTCTAACAATCTATTCTTAACCATATTCAAACATCTAATTGATAATGTAACATCCCCTCTAACAGGTCAAAGCTTCTGTTTCTTTCAGTCTTACTCTTGCTTTCTTCCTTTGCCAACTAACTTTCCAAGTCAGTACATTTGGATCATCAAATAATTCTTCCTCTATTTTTGTATATATTATTTGAGTCAAGAGAATCAATTTAGTTAAGGTATTTTTGGAAGAACTGGCCCATTGATATTCATTAAACAGCTCCCTCCTTCTCCATTTCCCCACAGTTCTATTGACAGAACCATTCCATCAGTTCTCCTTCCTTATCCTCCAGTAAGTTCTGAGACTTTGATTTGTAGAATGTCTGCTCCATTTCCAATATTCTTGTTGTGTCTTCTAAGTCTTCATTTATCTGAGTCTGGTCACAATTTTCTTCCTTCAGATTCTCAATATTTGTGTCAGCATTTTCTATTTTTCCCTCTGTTTTCTGAGTTGCTGGTTCCTTCTCTGTATTTATTTTCTGGGTTTGTAGATTAAAGTTAAAAAATTGTTCTTTTATCTCCTTTGTGTTTCTTTTAAACTCATCACGAACTAAAGTGATTGTTTCTTGTATTGATTTCAACATGGAGAGAATTTCTTTCTGTGATTCATCAGTATTTTCTTGTTAATATGGCAAACTGAGGCTTCTGGAGACAGGTGTTAAAGATGGTTTTTCACCATTTAGAATTAATTAGGAAACATCCATTTTATTTTTTGTAAGTAGTCTTTATGAGTTTATCCAACCAACTAACCGTTCTAAAACCTCCCCTAAGCAGATATAAATAAAGTTCAAATTTTTCTGTCCAATGAGAAAGATATCTTTTCTGTCCAGAGAAAAAAAAAGAACCATTACAAGTTGTTTAATAGTCAAGATTTATAATCCAAAGTGTTCCAAAATATTCCATCATATCCGACAATAGCAGTGGTGGGATTCAGCCGGTTTGCACTGGTTCAGTAGAAGTGGTAGCTAAATTTTGTTGAGTTCAGAAAACCGGCTGAACCCATGCTGCTTCTGCAAGTCCGTTCTAGGCCTCGGAGGCCTGGAGGAGGTCTCCCAGGCCTAGAATGGCCCACCGGAAGTACATTGATGTCACTTCCAGAAGTCCTTTCTAGGCCTGGTGGAGGCCTCCCAGGTCTAGAACGGCCCACCAGAAGTGCGTTGATATCAGTTCCAGAAGTCTGTTCTAGACCTGGGAGGCCTGGAGGAAGCCTCCCAGGCCTAGAACAGCCCACCGGAAGTGCATTGATGTCACTTCTGGAAGTCCATTCTAGGCTTCGGAGGCCCAGGCCTGCATCCATGCAGAGAACCGGATGTTAAGGTATTTGAATCCCACCACTGGGCAATAGTATATATGTCTTCTTCAAGAGAATAGATCCACAATTCAGTTCTAGAAGTCAGTATTTTTGTTCATAGTTCAGACAGGCCAATTTTAAAATGATATTATTGTCTCTGCCACACAGATAAGCTGTCCCAAGCCTGTTCCATTTTCTTAGCTGCAAATTTCAAAAGTCAGAGCTTCAAGGCCAGCCAAAGTCTTATCTCACTCTGAGCTTCAAGCCAGGTTGCTTTTAGGCAAAAATAAATTGTAGAGCCGTACATTCACCACTAGATGTCATCAACACCGTTTTTCAGTTTTTAAAACCAAAACTTATATTATAAGCTTTTCCAGCCTTTTTTTTAAAAAAAAAAAAGTCTTAAAACACTTTTAGTCCCCAAGTCATATATATATGTATTAGTTCCAAGTTAGTCTTATGGGTTTCTCCTTTTCCCCAGGTAATTAATTTGCCGCTTTCCTGAGGGAATGGAGTGAAAATTCCCTTTCCCTTCTCTTCGGGGGGAGTGCTTTGGGCAGATTTTCAGGAAAAGGTCTTAAATTCATAACGAGAGGCTTAGGTCTCACCCAGTTTCATCCACATTGCTGTAAACTTGTTTAGTAGGGCTTGGTGTCTTCTGTTGACAGCAGCTTCTGACTGGCTATGCAAATGTAGCCAGTTTTCCCCCCGCCGGTTTGGAGGGCCTCCTCGGATCAAACGTGAGAGCTGCCAGTCCCCCCAATGATCAAACGAGGGTCCCCTCCTTGCTTGCCGTCTCTATGGGGCGGCTTTCGACCCTTTTCAGGATCCCCAGTGGGGCGAAATCAAACACGGAAGATGGAGCTCGTCTTCCAGCATCTGCTTCGCCGCAACGCCATAGCTGGAAGCCTCTTCCTCAGAATTCCTTTATGAGAGGCTAAATTAATACATCATACAGGTTTAAATAGAAATTACCATATAACAGGATATGCTGAATATCCTCCATGATATGAGAGTCACAAGGGCAAAGTCATTTGTGGAATCTTTCCATGGGAGATTTACTGCCACTTCCATTTCATGTTCAGCTCAGGAGGATTTGTTTACTTCATAAATGAAGTTATCCAACTTGCAGCATGTCATTGTGAAAAAGCAATAGCCCTCCCATTTCAATTTTAAAGGGACTTGAGCAAGTGATATGAATACCTCATTAAACAGAGCTGATTTGAGCCAGCTCTGCCCTACATAAATCTCATAAACGTTTCATCACAGTGAAGTTGTTACTACGTAGCACAAAATGAAATACAAGTGAATTATATACCAGGACAGTGATCTTATATATACATTTAAACTTCCATATTTACAACAGAAGAAGTTCAGTGTTTTGGAATAGACAAATCTAGGTACAGACCTAAGCTGCACTTGGAGTAGGAGAAGGCATCCTAATCTTTTCACGCAGCAAAATGGATTGGACCAATCCTGTAGTTGGTCATTTATCATTGTATATCATTTATCTAGGATAAACTTCTAGAACGTTTCTAGACCAGGGGTCCCCAACCTGTGGTCTGCGGCCCATTACCAGTCCATGGCCTATTTGCAACCAGGCCCCGTGAGTGGCTGCCTGGTGTGCATGTGTGTATATTCACGCACAGCCCTACTCACATGAGTGTCACAGGCACTCACAGCCCCACTTCATGAGCGTCTCATACACACTCATGGCCCCACTTGGTGCAAGCGTTGCGGGCACTCGAGGCCTCACTGACATGAGGGTCACGGGCACTCAGACCTCACTCACACAAGCTTTGCTGGCACTTGAGGCCCCACTTGTGCAAGTGTCACGGGTGCTCTTGGCCTACTCACCCCTCCCACAAAACCATCCCCTCTTTTCCCCTCCCCCCCTCCGGGCCGTCAACCTGGAAAAATTAGAGAACTCTGTTCTGGCCTGTATATCAATAACACACATTATTATTATGGTTGGTTGCATAATCAGCCAGATGTTCAGATTGGATTTCATATTTTTATCCACCTATTGAGTCCTTCTCAGGAACCTGGGTTAAGTGGAAGTTGTTGTTTGATAGTGTTAAAAGTATTGTCACAGGATGTAAGCTGTTCCAAATAAAACTGTCTTTTTCTGTTGATGATGGTGATTTTATCAATGTCAGTGGTGTTCAAGTGGTGCTCCAGATATTTTGGAAATGCACCCAAAGTGCCTATCACTATTAGTACTATTTTTGCTTTTGCTACGGTCAATCTATTTCTATTTGCAGGTTTTTGTATTTTGTGATTTTTTCCAGTTCTTTCTCTTCTCTTCTGTTATCTCCTTAATGCAATGTCCACTATCTAGAATTTTTTTATCTTATCAATTGTTAAATCTGGGTTGTTATGTGGCAAGTACTTGTCTAATTGAATTCTAAAGTCCAGAGCAGTTTAGCTTCTTCATTTTCTATTACTTTGTCTATTTTATGGTTCCCATCAGTTCCTCCTTGCAGGCAAATGTATTATTATTATTATTATTATTATTATTATTATTATTATTATTATTATTATTATTATTATTGTTGTTGTTGTTGTTGTTGTTGTTGTTGTTGTTGTTGTTGTTGTTGTTGTTATCTTACCTTTTTAATATATATAACTTAAGAAGGCAAACACACCTAATACTCCTGCCACCTTGCAAAGTGGTTGGGCTGAGAAAGGAACTGGCCCAAAGTCATCCAACCAGCTTTCATGCCTAAGGGAGGCCTAGAATTCACAGTTGTACCTAATACTAGACAATTATTACCTGTTGGGTGATCCTTTGAGAGATATGTAGTGCAGTATGATGTAAGAACAAATACAATAAACAAACTTCAATAATAAGTCAAAATTTACCTACCAAAAGAGATAAATAGAATGACCCCAAACAGCCAAACAGCAGTGGCAGCGGGAGCAATTTCCAACTTCCTGCCAGCTTCCCTATTGGGAAACTGGAAGGACTGTTGGAAATCACAAACATGTGACCATGGCTGTCTGTTGTGGAGCTTTAGCAACTAGAACTTTGCCAATACAACTATTCTTAAGACCTTGAAATTTCAGTTTCATGGGAGTATTGGGTCCCAGATTTTATATGCATTCTGTAAGTTGGTGGATTTTCGGTACCTTGATTCAAAAATTGTTGTGCCATGATGTACTGTTTTGCTAACTGAAGATTACAAACAGAGAAAAACTGAGAGTATTATCTGTAAATAATATATAGATATTATACATTACTGATTTATTATATGTTACTGGTAGGACAATTATGTTCATAAATGATGTTTAATGTTTTGGTCAATTGTTTCACCTTTTTCTTTTAGCCAACCCGAAACATTGAGGTGACGGTGAAACAACGGACAGGAACACCTGTAGTTATATCATGCAACCCTCTTCAACCTATCATGTACATCAAGAAGAAGATTGGGAACGAAGGGCATACCTGTGAGCTATATTTGGAGGAACTTGGGCAAGAAAATGTAGCCTTGCAGAATGATAAAAGATTGGCAGATTATGGTATATTCTATGATACTACCATCCGGCTACATCTCAAGAGTATGAAAAAGAATATGATCATTTTTGTGCTCTTTTCTCTTTTCTTTCTTTTTCTTTTTTACATTTATTTTGTTAAGTTTAAGTAGCTTAGATCAGGGCTTTTCAACCAGTGGTACGGGTACCACCTGTGGTACATTGGCATCTGGCAGGTGGTACGCGACCATCCTAGAAAAGTGGTAGTGGTGGAAGGGAATGAGCTGAACCGGTGGCAGCACCGCACAAGCCTGAGCGAGAGATGGCTGGAGCTGCAGGGCTGTCAGGGCTCAGCGGAAGCGCCAGGATCAGCACTTCTTCGAGGTTGTCAGGGCTCAGCAGAAGCACCAGGATCAGCACCAGGCTCCAGCTGGAGCTCAGCGCTGATCCTGGTGCTTCTGCTGAGCCCAGAAGAAGCGCCGATCAGCTGGAATGTTGCAGCATCTCCAGGGTCTTGTGATTTACATTCAGATGCTTGGCAATTGATTCATATTTATGATGGTCACAGTGTCCCAGGGTCATGTGAAGTGACCAAAACCTGCTGCAACCACCCAGCAGACAGGGGGAATAAAAACCAAACACCCCCACCCCACCCCCGCTGCCAATCCTCAACAGAAATGTTCACAACAATGAAAACCTCGGACAGGAGGAAGAGCACCGCAGGCGGTTTCTTGCTCGGCTGTGCCTTGGGGGGCACTTTTTTCAGTGCTATTGTAACTTTGAACAGTCACTAAGCGAACTGTTGTAAGTCGAGGACTACCTGTACTTTATCACTTTTTTCCTTTTTGGGGGGGTCATCAAGTTTTTGACACCTTGCTAGGCGACTGGTGGTACTCGGATATTGCCATATCCTAAAAGTGGTACAATGAGTGAAAAGGTTGAAAAGCCCTGGCTTAGATAATATATTGAATAGTGATATAAATTTATTATTGTGAAATGTTTATTTTAATTGCACAATTAACAATTATAACCTTCTGTTTCTATTGTATAAACAAGCTACTTTTTGTGTTTTATGTAGTATTATTTGTATTCTATAATAAAATAATTAATTTGGAGAAAAAATGGCTGTGATTTCAAACAATCATTTCCTGAGCTACACTGATATATCCCTAACCAGATCTCAGATTTACTTTTTACAAACGAGAAGCTAATCTCAGTTTCTTCTTATGAAACATCATTATACTTACCCAGCTTTAAGAGTTACTGAAGTCTATCATAAATGTTTACTGTAATTATTTTTTTAAAAAAATGCTTAGGAAAATACTAATATTCATGATTTGAGCAGAATTTAAAATAAAGAACATTTGCTCTTGTCTATCTCCATTCCTCTGTGAATCTGGAAGAGAATTTTATGCGGATATTTGCAATTTGACCTACTGTGAAATATAGAGGAATTTGTTAAGTTTTTAAGTCTCGAGTTACCTAACATAATGATAGCTATGGCATGCCACAATTCTCTCATGAAAATACAGACTATTCCATTTTATATAAGTATATCTGAAATGACTGCAAATAGCCATAAGGTGGTGTAAGAACATCACTAAAACATTTTAAATGACTGAGGAGTGTAGTGGCCATATTTAAATTTTACATGTCTGAGAAAGCAATTTTAGTTTCATAATAAATAACTGATACACAATAAATCACTTGAAGACTGAAAAAACCAATGAAACTACATTTTGAAATATAATTAGTAGCAGTGCTTTTTTTCTTTAAAAAAAAAAAAAAAGGTGCCGGAACTCACACACGTCATACAACCCGCCTTGCCTACCCTACAAGGTTCCATCCAAAAAAGGTGCCAGAACTCCATTCTGGGCATTCTATGAGAAAAAAAAGCCCTGATTAGTAGTATATTTAGGATTTTTAAATTCAGTTTACATGGTCAGTCATAACATTGTTTAGGCCAGTGGTGGCGAACCTATGGCATGGGTGCCAGAGGCGGCACTCAGAGCCCTCTCTGTGGGCACACGCGCCATCGCCCCAGTCCTAGGCCTTCAGCTGGGTTTTATATAATCTTTTTGCTTTAGGCCTCCACCGCCGTGTGCAAAAAAAAAAAAAGGTTCAATCAGTCAATTTTAACTTCTTGCGGGGAAAAAAAAAGATCTTGCAAAGTTGGAATTGATTGAACTTTTTAGTCCCACCCAGTCTGCTGTTACCACTGCAGCCACGCCCACCCAATTGGCTATGCCCACTCAATTGGCCATGCCCACCCAATTGACCACACCCACCCAATGGGCCACACCCACCCGGCACTCGACGACGCATAAGTGGGTTTGGGGTTGCAGTTTGGGCACTCAGTCTCTAAAAGGTTCGCCATCACTGGTTTAGGCAAAGTAAAACTACCATTTATTTCCCCCATATAAAACTACATCCACTTTTTAAAAGAAAAGACAAGTAGCAGGTGTTTTTTTTAAATTTTCAGATAGTTTTTTTTCTCTCAGGAAACTAAATCATTATAAAGCTTAAGTTAGGGATGCTGGGTTTATGAATGAAAAAAATTAAGCTGTTTTTCATATCAAATAAGGAAAACTTATTACTCTGTACAGGGCTGCAACCAGGATAGTGGCCCCTTCAGAATTCAAGCCATTTGAGAAATTCATACCCCTGCAGGCAAACACACCCTGTCGTGATGCATTAGCCACTTAGCATGCCCTGTCCTCATTTTTTTTCTGGGGAGCTTCTATCTACCAGCTACATTTGATCCTTCTGCAATTCTAATTCTTCAACCTGCTGATACCTACCTTTGAATGAATATATTTTGGTGGGGGTCATGTAAGAGCTGTGGAATTGTGATCAGTTTGGTGTCTATAATGATGCAGGGTTATGTAATCTGTTGGTAGTCTGGCATGCCTTGTTGCCTTATTCCAAGTCAGATGCAGCCCATGTATTGCAGCCCCATGTTGAAAAGTTCTCTTCACATCAGACAACAATTGGAGATTAACTTGAATGCATTATAAGTAGTCCTCAGCGACTGTTTGGAGTTACAACAGCACTGAATGAGTGATAGTTACGTCCAGTCCTTGAAATTCAGTCTTTGGCAGCACCTCACACGATCATGATTGT